TATGTACACGGTCAGTATCAAACATGTACACGGTCAGTATCGAGACATGTACATGGTCAGTATCTGACGTGTACATGGTCAGTATCAGACATGTACACGGTCAGTATCAGACATGTAAAATGGTCAGTATCTGACGTGTACATTGTCAGTATCAGACATGTACACGGTCAGTAACAGACATGTACATGTTCAGTATCAGACATGTACATGGTTAGTATCAGACATGTACATGGTCAGTATCAGACGTGTACATGGTCAGTATCGAACATGTACATGGTCAGTATCAGACAGACGTACATGGCCAGTATCAGACGTATTACATGGTCAGTATCAGACATGTACATGGTCAGTATCAGACACATGTACATGGCCAGTATCTGACGTGTACATGGTCAGTATCAGACATGTACACGGTCAGTATCAGACATGTAAATGGTCAGTATCAGACGTGTACATTGTCAGTATCAGACATGTACATGGTCAGTATCAGACATTTACATGTTCAGTATCAGACATGTACATGGTTAGTATCAGACATGTACATGGTCGGTATCAGACGTGTACATGGTCAGTATCAGACATGTACATGGTCGGTATCAGACATTTACATGGTCAGTATCAGACGTGTACATGGTCAGTATCTGACATGTACACGGTCAGTATCAGACATGTACACGGTCAGTATCAGACATGTACATTGTCAGGTATCTGACGTGTACATGGTCAGTATCAGACATGTACACGGTCAGTATCAGACATGTAAATGGTCAGTATCAGACATGTACATGGTCAGGTATCAGACATGTACACGGTCAGTATCCGACATTTACATGGTCAGTATCAGACATGTACATGGTCAGTATCAGACATGTACATGGTCAGTATCAGACGTGTACATGGTCAGTATCAGACATGTACATGGTCAGTATCAGACATGTACATGGTCAGTATCAGACATGTACATGGTCAGTATCAGACGTGTACATGGTCAGTATCAGACATGTACATGGTCAGTATCAGACATGTACATGGTCAGTATCAGACATGTACATGGTCAGTATCAGACATGTACATGGTCAGTATCAGACGTGTACACGGTCAGTATCAGACGTGTACATGGCCAGTATCAGACGTGTACATGGTCAGTGTCTGTAAGCATCACTTCATCGATCGTCTGATCAAAGAATTTAGGCACTATGGTCTGGAAGCCAGACCCTCAAAATGGTGAAAATGTGGTGCAGTGCTGGCGACCAAACAGGATGAGATTTTTCACAATCAGGAATTATTAAAGTCGGTTGTCATCAACTACCGTGTGTGACTACCATGCACATCCACATCCACATGCTGAAGTATACAACAGGTTCAACCTCTTTGCCACCTTCCTGTACACTGACTTTTACATGCACAATTATGAAGTTGGAGAAGGTCCACGGAAACGATTTAGTCTTAACTTATTGGCAACTTTATCAATTTTACAATTTTAAGGTAATGTTACCAATATTATATTTTTATATTTCAGCTATATCATTTGAAGATCATACATACCTTTGGTTGGCACTACATTCATGAAAAACAACAATTCAACTGATGTCAGAACGAGATATGTTTTGATATTGTATACCATGCCGTGAAACCCTTAAAGCTGATAAATAATATGACATCCTAATGAAGGTTGACAAGTGACATTATGGTGTGCCATTATTTCGGTTTACAATGTGAAATATTACGACTTTGGTTTCTTGATTTATTTTACACCGGCAATCATTAATACATTGTTAAAGATATCACACACTGATCAGTGAGGCGTTATGGTACCTTACCACCAAATATACACACCCTCATATACCTCTCAAATACACCGTATTTCCAATACATTCCATTTCATTGTAATAGGTGTTGTAATTTCCGATTCTTTTTTAAGTTTACTTGGGTTCGAAATTTGAATATTTCCTTAGGTGGGGAAACATTTGTAAATTTGTAAATTTTCAAATGTTTTCATGGCTTAAAACCTTGTGTATCATTCCAGATATCAAGGGTGTGTATTTGAACACTTTTTATATGCTCATGTTACCAGTAATAACAAGTACTAAAACAAAGTGGCCACAGAAAAACTGGGTTCACATTGTGTTATTCACATATGCTGAAGCCTTGAAAATCAAGGCTCATACCGAGGGCCTGGCTAAGCAAAACATTGTTATGCAAGCAGACAGGTTCCATTAGGTCAGCAGCGGCTTAATCACTTCGTTTAAACCCATTGTCAGTTCTTCAGACAAATGTGAGTGGGACAAAAGGGATACAGATGTTACAGACTTAAATGTTGTCATTCACATTGAGGTTTGATAGTTGTTTCGGCTATGCAACATGTTATTACTCTCTCCTGGTTATTGGGTGTTAACTGACAACATTACAGTTTGCAACATGTTTCGTATCCATGCATTATGCAATGCAGTTCTTCATTCATGATTCATGCATTCAATCAATAGCAAAACATTTGTAAAAATACTAGTGATCGGAACCTGCTTAAAGTTGCATTACTCACAGGTACTTTCACACGGTGTTGTTTTACTTTTCAAAGTTCTTTTAGGTAAGCTTGTTTTCAAATGTATTGAATTAGTATTTTAAGCAATGCTGCCGGTTATCTGGAGGTGTGGACGTATCAACGCAATAACGCCTTGAACAGATACCTCCAATCTTTCCTCTGTTCCACTACCCCATGGATAATTGGAGAAAATAATCATGCTAATTAAAAGATCGCACAAGCAATCGTACATACAATGTACTTGGATTAACCTTCCCATGTTCCATAAACTCTAGCAGATACTCAATGTCATAAATACACGACGTTTCTGGGCTACTGTAACTGATAAAGAAGTTGTAAATCCATACCATACGTTGTTATGTTACCTTCCAACTTCTAAATGTCCATCAAGCATCTGCATGTTGATCAGTTTACAGTGCAAACATTATGAAAAATTACCCATGATTAAATATAGTGATTGGTGTGTGTGTGTGTGTAGTTGTGTGGCATTTCACCAATAAGGTCTCTCTCTCTCTCTCTCTCTCTCTCTCTCTCTCTCTCTCTCTCTCTCTCTCTCTCTCTCTCTCTCTCTCTCTCTCTCTCTCTCATATATCCGGAGCACGTTTGGATCCATAATTACAGGATCCTGCTACGTTATACAAAGCGTAAGCCTCTGTAAATAGGAAATTTAGAGAGCAATTTAGTGAGTGGGTGACTTTAGTCTTACGCCGCACTCAGCAATATGGCAGCGGTCATATCTGATCAATTGGGATCTGATGACATGTATCAACCAAGTCAGCGATCCTGACCACCCGAATAGCTGATAGTAATTAACTGCAACTTGACAATTGGCACTCTGAGGTACGACTATTGCAGAGACCAGAAAACATATTGGCGACATACATTCTTTTGTCAATAATAGCATTTGGAATGATCTACAATAGATATCATGAGACTGACTATGCATTTATTCATTAACCAGTCTGGCAGGTTCACAAATATGTTAATTGGGTCAAAATTGATCTTCTGCAACCCATGTTGTGAGAGCGAACTAATGTGATCGGGTGATCGTTCTCACTTACTTGTTTGATGCATGCCATCGTATCCCACTTGTGAAGATCGATGCTCATAGTGCCATGACTATGCTCTGTGTAACTCTCTTGTGTATATCATTGCATATTGTATATCATTACATATTACTACAACTGAGGGATGCATAGTTTTATGGACGTTAAAGTAGACGCAAGATGTTTATATGAATATTGTCTAGGAATTCCTTTGAGTTGTCCATAAAAGTAGGCACTTAATGTTTTGTATTTAAAGCAGTACGTTTCTGTCGTAATAGATCTTCATCAAATATTCCGCTGTGATAAAGTGGCAAATAAGTTAAGACTAAATCGTTTCCGATGATCTTCGAATGATATAGCTGAATCAGAAAAAACATAATTTTGGAAAAGGCTACCCCGCCGCCCCTGACTCTAAGAGATCAAGACATATTCATTCCTCTTTTGTCCTGAATTCCAAAGCTCCTCAAACTCAATCCGTACACTCCGTGAACATGACATGTACACATAGCTCTCTTCAATCAGAGTGAGTGAATACTACCTGTCGCTGCATCAGCAGTTTTCCAGCATATATATCTCTCTCCAGTCAGAGTGAGTGAATACTACCTGTCGCTGCATCAGCAGTTTTCCAGCATATATATCTCTCTCCAGTCAGAGTGAGTGAATACTACCTGTCGCTGCATCAGCAGTTTTCCAGCATATATATCTCTCTTCAATCAGAGTGAGTGAACACTACCTGTCGCTGCATCAGCAATTTTCCAGCTATTCGCGGCGATCTGTCTTCAGAGATCCAGGACAATTTGCCAAAAATGAAAGCAAATGTCCTCTGAATTTTCCTGAGAATTAATATGTGAAATGATTGACTTTCTCACTGATAACATCAACGTAAAATTACGGGTAGACATTTAGGCAAAGGTAGGCGTCCCCACGGGCGCCAATCATACTTGCCTTCTTCCAGACACTTTTCTTTATACATTGAATAGACATTTTTCTGTTTAGATTGGCAAGTTAAAACAAATGAATTTTTCAAGTTCCCATAACGTTTATGGTATATGGATGACCTTCTGTCCTGCTTCATCATCAACAGTCATCCCAATTGCGTAGATCGATGCTCATGATGTTGATCATTGGATTGTCTGGTACAGGCTCGATTATTTACAGATAGCTTCCATATGGCTGTAAATTTGCTGAGTGCGGCGTCAAACTACAAACCTACCAACCAACATCTGACAAACACATTGTAACCTCAATATTGATCAATTCCTTATACTTTATTGAAATGATACATTATTGATAAAAATGCGGCACAAAACGATGCTCACTCACACCTTGTTTGTTTCTTACAGCTCAGTATGACAGCACATATGAAGAACTTTTTCTTGATGAATCATGGAAATGTATATTACTAGTAAACGATAATTTCAATGACAATAAATATAATCATTTTCAGCTGCGAATTACACAGTGCAGCTTACGCGCATTCTGTGTTTACTACTAGGGTGTACCCGATCGTTGTGAGCAGGTGAAAAAGGACCAATTAATTTTACTACCCGGTACGGGTTTGAACCCGAGTTTCGTATGCATGTGGATGGAGACGGCGTTGTTGTCCTCCACGAGCACTCCGACAACGTCATCCTCCTCCAAGGTTTTCCGAGCCAGTAGACCCATTGCAGCGGTGCCCAACTTCTTTCCCCGGAACGGCGGAAGTACAGTCAGCATGCCCAGCAAGTTGTGGAACTGAGTCGCAGCGTAGGCCGCCAGTGCCCCTGTCGGGTCTCGGAAACAGACTGTCGGATAGCCTCTCTCGACCAACAGATGTGTAAACTGGTCAATACCGGGTACCTTGAATGTCCAGTTGTCATTCACGTGCGAGATGGCGTCACTACCCAAGGGTACTTCTTGAAATCCATCCGGTACTTTTCTGTTGAAATAATAGTTTTGCTTACATTGCCCTTATTTTTCTACAACAAATATGTAATACTTCAAAATGATAGTGACAAGTATATCCTGTAGTATACACTGGCCAAATTACTGTCCCGGGCAAATACAAGTATCCACTTGAAAACAGAATTTGACCGACAAATTACAAACGTTATGAAAATACCGCAAGATTGAAAAGAGGTCGCCGAAATAATCCAAACTCAAGTTCCAAAACACAGATGTAAAACAGATGTATTAAATGAATCACCTTTCAAATAACTAGTTCTTGTTGGTTTCGGGGTTTTGTGGCCGCCATGAAACATGGCTTATGCATTGTTTTGTTCAGCAGTTTAGACTGTTTACTGATATCACATAATTACCGTTTCTGGAATTCATAAAATTTCTAGGAGTGAGTGAGTTTGGTTTTACGCCGCTTTGAGCAATATTCCAGCAATATCACGACGAGGGACACCAGAAATGGGCTTCACACATTGTACCCATGTGGAAATCGAACCCGGGCCTTCAGCGTGAAGAGTGGACGCTTTAACCACTTGGCTACCCCACCGCCCCTTCTGGGAGGCCGGTATACATTACGGCTAAGTAACATAAAGAGGATCTACAATGACTCGAAAACGCAGTGAAACAATTACATTGTAAATGATGAATACGTTTAAGCTTCGGGAAATCCGCTTCGTTTAACTAACAAGCTGTTATAAGTTTAGTTAAGTCTTGAGACACGTACATGTCAACTAATGTGTCACGTGATACTGTATATATCGGTGCATCTGCAACCCAGCGGATGTTGCCTCTATCTTTGGCTCTCTGTTCCACCAGAGGCCAGACCGTGTCGGCCACGCCTGTGAAAAGTAGCAAATATATAACATCATTATACCTCAAAGTGAGATTGGCCAAGCAGAGAGCAGAACTACTTTCCCCTCATGAACCGCGCACCGTCAGCTAAAGTGAGAGAGTGGTGAGTTTAGTTTTTCGCCACACTCAGCAAATATTCCAGCTATATGGTGGCGGTCTGTAAATAACCGAGTCTGGACCAGACAATCCAGTGATCAACAACATGAGCATCTATCTACGCAGTTGGGATACCATGACATGTGTCGATCAACCAAGTCAGCGAGCCTGGCCACCCGAACCCGTTAGTCGCCTCTCACGACAAGCCTGGGTTACTGAAGATCAATTGTAACCCGGATCTTCACGGGTCATTTGATAGGAATAGGAATGCAATGTTTGTCATTCTTAATTTACTCTATGTTTTATCTTAGTCTCAGATGTCCTATGATATACATTATACAGAAATTGGTCTCAATTTCCTGTGTTGTTGTTGATATGGACGGAGCAATGTGAATGTAGCTGTACATGTGAGGTGAGGTGAGGTGAAATTGGGTTTAACGTCGTGCTTGAGAATATTTCGCTCATATGACGACGTGCATGCGTGTGTATGTGTGTGTGCGGCTGCTTGTACTAGCCCAGACTGAAGCTGGTTTTATAGTGCTAGCCCACTGAGATACCATGCCGCAGTGAAGCATGAATACCCCACTCAGACACATTATACTGACTCCGAGCCGACCAGTCCTTGTTGTACCCATTAATGCCGAGCGCCAGGCAGGGACCAACAAGTACCATATTTTAACGTCTTTTGGTATGACGCGGTCGGGGGTCGAACCCGCGACCTTCCGCTCTCCGGGCGGACGCTCTAACCACTACACCACGGAGGCGGTCAGCTGTACATGTATTCATATAGAGTCGATATACACTAAACGCCAAAAGATACATTACCCTCCTACCTTTATGAATTACTTAAAAATTATCAAATATATGAAATATTAGTTTACAAGAAAGCTTAACAACACCGCTTTATGCAAATCACGAAACAAAAATTCGCAAATGTTTTCATGTATAGGTGAAATGCATCTTTTTCAGAAGAGTTAAATTGTCCTATTTTCGACCATGCCGGAATAAACCAATAACAGTGATTTAGATGTCAAAAAGAAAGGTTAAAATAGAATTCTGCTTGGAGAAAAAGATAAAACATTTAAAGTCACCATTTTTCAACTACTAAAACAAGAAACAACCGCTGTAAAGTGTGTAAAATTGTACAAGAATAATTCCTTATATGATTTTAGTCTTTTAAAAGATTTTCTGCTGATTTGCATTGGTGAAAGCAAGTACAACGTGTCTTTGATATAGTGAAAAAGTGTTTAGGAACACCAAAATTATCTTCGTCAAATTTTTGCTTGCAAAGTCACACTTTTCCATTCTTTGTTTACACATAGCAATACCAATCGCCAAAACGTAGCAATATTCAAGCAATATTCAAGCATTATTTGCATTAATTTATGTAGAATAATTCTATAGGGTATAAAGAGAGCCTAGAATGCATGATATGATACACAAGTGCGAGAAATATGCCACGATTAACAGCTGAAGACCGAGAAAGAGCCATTGGGATATTGCAGATGGGGTCGACATACAATACTGTTGCCAACGCCCTCGGATGCCACCGTGTCACGGTTATAAGATGTATTCAGCGCTTCAGACAGACTTGACCTTGACACATGTCATCGGTTCACAATTGCGTACATCGATGCTCATGCTGTTGATCACTGGATTGTCTGGTCCAGGCTCGATTATTTAGACCACCGCCATATAGCTGTAATATTGCTGAGTGCGGCGTAAAACTAAACTCACTTACTCACTCAGACAGACTGGGGTCACCGTAGATCGACCAAGAAGTGGACGTCCACGCATTACAATGCAGCAGAAAGTTTCATCCTAGCTTGAATAGATTTTAAGAAATTCATTACGGCAGGATGGTAATCTTTCTTTTGGCGTTTAGTGTATTTGTCATTAAATATAAATGTGTTCGTGTAAAACACATTTTAAGAATGTTTAGTGTCAAATTAAATGTGAAAAGCGAACAGAGCAGTTTGTCAGAACTCAAACTTTCATTTTTGTTACACGTACAAAGGTTGATGTCCTCATTCCAAGTGATGATCCGCGGGTCGTCGAGGAGTGACGTCATACTCGCCACGTCTTGACTGTCAACGAAATAAAACTTGCCGGTGTAGGGGTCCTGAGAATTTAGCAAAAATGTAATTGTTGTAGTGAATGAGTGAGTTAAAATTTACAGTCACATCGGCAATATTTCAGCCATATCGTGACTAGAACAAGTTTTATATTCACCATAAATACATGTAAATTATGAAAACATGTCTGTCAACGAAGGACAGTAAAGCCAACTAGAATATCACAGTATCAAGAATTAAAACTAGCATCTCTGTCTAAAATTGGATTTCAAATTAGAACAAGACAGTATAAAAATGGGCTGTAGATCTGAAAGTAGATCACCATACAAGGGACCATGGGGACTTACAGTACCTTTGCAACCTGCATGGACCTTAGTTCGATTTACACCGTCCCTTCAGATGTTAGCGATTGTATACAAATCTAGCCTTAATTTAAAATAGCATATGTCCTACGATTAAATAATGTGGTAGGTTAAATTTTTCCTTGAATGTTTTGGGACTTACGAATCCTCTCAGAAGGACATTAATTTTACAGTACTTTAACCCCCTTTGAGGATACAACCACTAACCATCTCAGTTACTAATCTAAACTACCAATTATAAAAGTACATCTATTTACAAGACATATTAATCAAAATTTGTCTGTCAATTCTATCTCTTTTAAAAATGCGATAATAAAATGATGATTAACATTACATAAAAAACCCTTAACAGTTTTAACACTGAAATATTTATCCCTTGTGATGGAAAACTCAACACAGTCAAGCAAGACATGCTTCACCGTGATTCTTTCATCACAAGGGATGCAAAACGGAGGATCTTCGCCTTTCAATAAGTATTGGTGTGTATACCGCGTATGGCCAATGCGACATCGTCGCATAATGACCTCTTCAAATCTGAACTGACAACCCAAGTAGTTGTAACCAATATAGGGTTTTATTTCATGTAATTTATTAATACCTATTTGGGTGTCCCACTTCTTCTGCATCGGATGACGGATGTACGATCTAATGGTTGCTTTGTAATCAGAATATGGCATAGGAACTGGTGTCACAGATTTGTTGAGTGCCGCGTGAACAGCAAGATCGGCCATTGTGTTCCCAGAATGCCATTATGCCAACGTGGCTGGGTAAACAACAAAAGACGGTGTCGCATTGGCCAGTAGCAAGATCATCATATAATCAATAATTTCCATTAAAAGTGGATGTTTGCAAGGTAGATTTTTTATAGCCTGAAGGCTAGAAAGAGTCTGAAAACATAATATATTGTTTATATTTGGGGTGTCTATTAATATTATATATACTGAACATCATTGAAAACGCACCACCTGTAAATTTTGAAATATGGTAATAGGATTGTTTTGAGAGTGAAAATGAACGTTGGAAATGTTGTCAAAAAACACAAAAGACAATAAATAATGGTGTACAGTAAAGAACGGATTGCCCGAACACATCATGGAACACATGACATGACAACAACAAAATTCATGCACAACACACACGAAAAGCACAAATTGCATGCGTAAAACATGCTGATTAGGGGTATAAATGACCGTCAGCAAAAAACCGTTCTCATTTTAGCTGTACCTCCGCAAGTAAAGTTTATTTCGCAATGCCAAGATTGTCACCAGAGGAACGAGAACGGGCGTTGGGCATGTTGCAGGTTGGCACATCAAGCAGGATTATTGCCATACGATTTGGTTGCCATCATAAGACTTGCCAACAGGTACCAACAAACAGGAACCACCAGGGACCGCCAACATCTTGGCCAGGCACGTGTTACCACCCCTCGCCAAGATCGAGACATTGTTCGGCGCCATATTCGGGATATACGTTGCCGGCTGCCAGAACTGCCAACGCTGTCCAAGACCGACGTGGTTGATCAGTACTTCCACCGTCCGACGCCGTCTCCGTGCGGCAGGATTACGGTGTCGACGCCCTTATGTTGGACCCATCCTGACTGATAGACATCGCCGTGAACGCCGACGATGGGTTGAACAGCATCGTTTGTGGTTGTTACGACGTTGGCATGGTGTTGTGTTCTCCGACGAATCACATTTTCACTTGCGAAATGCTGACGGGCGTCTACGGGTATGGCGTCGACGGGGAGAACGTTACCATCAGGACTGTGTTGTGCAAACAGATCGGTGGGGTGGAGGCAGCATTATGGTGTGGGGAGAGATCAGTTATCATCACAAAACGGCTCTGGTAGTTTGTCGTGGCAGAGTGAATGCCCTTTACTACCGTGACACCATTCTTCAGAACAACGTCGTTCCCTTCTTTAACCAACATCAAGATCTGCACACATTCCAGCAGGACAATGCTCGAGCGCACACTGCACGTGTTGCAACACAGTTTCTGGCAAACAACAACATTCCTCTACTTCCATGGCCTGCATTGTCACCAGATTTGTCTCCCATTGAACACTTGTGGGATTACATCGGCCAACGCCTCTCACGTCGCCCACAGATCAACAACCTTGGGCAACTTGAGAATGCCTTGCAACAAGAGTGGAATGCATTGCCTCAAAACATTATTCAGAGACTTATCAGTTCAATGAGGAGACGTTGCACAGCTTGTGTTGCTGCTAACGGTGGTCATACACGTTACTGACTTTCCAATTTGACTCCATCATTCTTTCATGGTCAGCTGAATTAAAACTTCACTGTTTTGCTGGATTGGTTCTTGTTTCTTTTCTTTACCAATCATTGGACTACAAAAGTATGTAAAATTTACACCGATTGCTCATTTATGCTCTTGGAAATCCAAACTAATACAGGTGGTGCGTTTTCAATGATCTTAAGTATATATATTTAAGAGCTGTTAGTATTGCGTTTGCTTCTGCAGTACAAATAGAGCTATTATCCGGTAATCGAGAAGATATTGTTCTGGATCTAACGACAATAGCACAAGCCACTGCGCCACAATCCGTAAATAACGATTTGTATGTATTATATTTACTTTTTAATTGATTAAATTCTTGTTTATATAGTAATTCATTAGTTTCTGATTTTTTAAATGTTGTCAGTGTTAGGTCAACGTCTGGCCTTATCAATTACCAGGGAGGAGAAGAAAGAAGACGGGAAGGAGATATATTCCCCTAGCTCAATGTCAGCAGCAGAAAGGAAGGTTTGACTCTAACGTAGTTGTAAACACAGTGAGTCAAGCGTTATCAAATCATTACATCAATTCATTCTATTCGGAACCGCGCTGAGGTTTGTCCCGCAATGCTCCTAAAATATCCCGCGTAAATATTGCTCAGAGTTTGAATAAGCATTGTTCGGAGTGCGAATAACATATTTGTTCATGTTGGAAATCATGTAAATTTTATCGAAATCTTTTAAACGCGTTTACTCGATGTTTTAAAAACAAAACTGGAGATCTATCTTGACAATAGTACACGTTATAAGTTGTTCACTGGTCACGAATGGGACATGGGTTGATGTACCCTCGATGTTAGTTTATGTTCCCTGAGCCCGAGCATAAACAAACATCGACGGTACATCAACCCTTGGGCCCCGAGGGACCAGTGAAAAACGTATGTATCTTACCGAAAACCTCAATGTTAATTTTGAACTGTTTGGAGCACGGATATTGGATCATAATACGGAGTACCGGAGTTAGGCAACAGCCCAAACACTACAAGCACGAAGTACCAAATGAATTCCCACAGTTTGGCATTTCCAGCGGGTAACTTGGAAAATCTTACTCGCTTGTAAGCGGGTAACACTGATTGGCTCAGCCGATCAGAAAACGACATTTATGTGTGAGGTGAGATAAAATTAAAGTACCAGCACGAATCGAAGTTCGAATCATGTGTAGATACGAGTTAAGCCACGACAGAATTTCCTGACATCTACAACAGATTCGGGGTATGAACGGTTTACAAACGTCAGCGCGCAGGTAGAGACATTTCTAACAACCTCTTACCATCTGCTTTTCGCCGGACGGTTTCATGACCAGAGATTTGAACTCAGGCCAGCTGTCCACCCAGATCTCGAACCCTTCCCACTTCCCCTCCATCAGCTTTTTCAGCAGTCCATACACCTGTAACATACATAAAATGTTACCTTTAATACGTCTACATCGTAACCTGTAATGTCCATACATCGTAACCTGTAATACGTCTACATCGTAACCTGTAATACGTCTACATCGTAACCTGTAATACGTCTACATCGTAACCTGTAATGTCCATACACCGTTACCTGTAATGTCCATACACCGTAACCTGTAATACGTCTACATCGTAACCTGTAATACGTCTACATCGTAACCTGTAATACGTCTACATCGAAACCTGTACTGTCCATACATCGTAACCTGTACTGTCCATACACCATAACCTGTAATGTCCATACACCGTAATCTGTAATGTACATACACGGTAACCTGTAATGTACATACACCGTAACCTGTAATGTACATACACCGTTACCTGTAATGTACATACACCGTAACCCGTAACCTGTAAGGTACATACACCGTTACCTGTAATGTACATACACCGTAACCTGTAATGTACATACACCGTTACCTGTAATGTACATACAACGTAACCTGTAATGTCCATACACCGTAACCTGTAATGTCCATACACCGTAACCTGTAATGTCCATACACCGTTACCTGTAATGTACATATTAATGTTACCTGTTATACGTCTACATCGTAACCTGTAATGTCCATACACCGTAACATGTAACACACATATACTCTAACAGCCAATACATAAACGCCTAATCCTGTAACACACAGGAAAATAAACCATAACTGGTAATACACATACACAAGTCGGAAAGCGCACGTAAAATCTCCAGATCATCATCAGAAATGCGGTTTTTACACCGTGTCCTGTCCTGTCACCTGCAATACCGATATACCGTACATGATGATAAATACATCGTATACCTGTAACACTTTCACCTGGTACATCCATACACGTACCGTTCATCATTCCACCCTATGTATACACGGTACACCATCCAGTTATAGACATGTTGTCAGCTAAACATTCGCCATGCACATGTATTGCATCATCCAGTACACCAGTATACACATTCGCCATAAAAACACAATACACAAGCGAGACAAATGTACCATATTTTGTGGGTGATTTCTTTTTGATCTTCTTCATCTTTCCCCATAGTGTCATGTTGACAGACTGAAGTAGTTACGGCGTAATGTCCTGTTTAGTTGAGTGAAATAGCATATTTTGTTTGCTCTTCAGACGTTTATATATGTCTTACATTTGCAGATATATTCATTATTCCATTGCAAAATATACCCAACAATACCACCTATATGTTCAGAAACTGAAATTTACGTTCACCTGGAAAAATTCACCGTCCTCCAGAGCAAATACCTTACCATAATACTTCTGTGACGGTCCCTCAATATCATGGCCGCGTCTTTCCAATCCTCGGGGGACAGTTTGTACGGGGTCATGACGTGAAATACGATTTATTCGGGAATCCGTGAAAGATACCAGTGACACTACCACGTACATACAAACACTAACGTACACAGCGTTAATTGGCACTAGGTTTTGTGTCAGGTCACGGTGACACCGGATCTTTTGCGTACGAAATCCGAAGCAACCAGCACATCCACTGCACCTCGGTATGGCGGACTCCGGGGGATAGTATAATATTTACACAGCTAAAATATGAATGCTTGTGTTGACATAAGATAAAACATGAACAAACTTGAGGACAATGTAGAACAAAATGGTTTTACCATCACATTCACGTTTATTGTATTTACGTTGCAACTTGAGTGGATGCTGGGATTATTAAAAAAGTCGCACCGGACCGGGCCAAGACCGGACAATGTAATTATTGGCTAATTACTCCATAATCGACAAACATGACAACACTTTATTGCTGCAACAGACACACATGCTATTATTGAGCACCAACAAACCGCAATCATGCAACATAAGTCAGTTATTGGGAATAAATCCCCTGAAAATCTGGAAAACAAGCAGAGGTTAACGGCGTTCCGGGTACACGTAAAAGAGGAATCGTTAAACGAAATAGGATTTGAAAAGTACTTCCCGTGCTACAAATTTCCAGGCAGATGTAGTGTTTACATCTGTAGAATACGACAACAAAGTAAATACCACTAAAATGCCAATGTCTATCCTATTTAAAACTAATTCTTAGCTACAGTTAAGTTCACCTTCCTTGTATACGAAACATGTCTTCAGACACATTTAGCCCGGGCTGTCCAAGTCAACTAAAAGTCAACTATTACTACTTTATAGTGTTCCCGATCGTAGTATTAAAGCTTATACCACATTTTGGCTCGTTACTTTTGGATACCTTTGATCTTTCAGTTGGTGCGTCAACCCATAAACTCTTAATTTTATACGTGCTTGCTCAGGTTTCTCAAAATACCTACACTTTGCTCAATACACATACTCTTTGCTCAATACACCCACACTTTGCTCAATACACCCACACTTTGCTTAATACACCTACACTTTGCCCAATACACCCACACTTTGCTCAATACACCTACACTTTGCTCAATACACCTACACTTTGCTCAATACACCCACACTTTGCTCAATACACCCACACTTTGCTCAATACACCCACACTTTGCTCAATACACCCACACTTTGCTCAATACACCTTCACTTTGCTCAATACACCTACACTTTGCTCAATACACCACACTTTGCTCAATACACCACACACTTTTGCTCAATACACCCACACTTTGCTCAATACACCCACACTTTGCTCAATACACCTACACTTTGCTCAATACACCTACACTTTGCTCAATACACCACACTTTGCTCAATACACCACACTTTGCTCAATACACCCACACTTTGCTCAATACACCCACACTTTGCTCAATACACCCACACTTTGCTCAATACACCTACACTTTGCTCAATACACCTACACTTTGCTCAATACACCACACTTTGCTCAATACACCACACTTTGCTCAATACACCTACACTTTGCTCAATACACCCACACTTTGCTCAATACACCCACACTTTGCTCAATACACCCACACTTTGCTCAATACACCCACACTTTGCTCAATACACCCACACTTTGCTCAATACACCTACACTTTGCTCAATACACCACACTTTGCTCAATACACCCACACTTTGCTCAATACACCACACTTTGCTCAATACACCCACACTTTGCTCAATACACCCACACTTTGCTCAATACACCTACACTTTGCTCAATACACCCACACTTTGCTCAATACACCTACACTTTTCTCAATACACCCACACTTTTGCTCAATACACCCACACTTTGCTCAATACACCACACTTTGCTCAATACACACTTACACTTTGCTCAATACACCCACACTTTTGCTCAATACACCCACACTTTGCTCAATACACCTACACTTTGCTCAATACACCTACACTTTGCTCAATACACCTACACTTTGCTCAATACACACCACACTTTGCTCAATACACCCACACTTTGCTCAATACACCTACACTTTGCTCAATACACCCACACTTTGCTCAATACACCTACACTTTGCTCAATACACCTACACTTTTCTCAATACACCTACACTTTTGCTCAATACACCACACTTTGCTCAATACACCTACACTTTTGCTCAATACACCCACACTTTGCTCAATACACCACACTTTGCTCAATACACCTACACTTTGCTCAATACACCCACACTTTGCTCAATACACCCACACTTTGCTCAATACACCACACTTTGCTCAATACACCCACACTTTGCTCAATACACCACACTTTGCTCAATACACCTACACTTTTGCTCAATACACCTTACACTTTGCTCAATACACCTACACTTTTCTCAATACACCTACACTTTTGCTCAATACACCACACTTTGCTCAATACACCACACTTTGCTCAATACACCTACACTTTGCTGCAATACACCCACACTTTGCTCAAATACACCTACACTTTTGCCCAATACACCTACACTTTTCTCAATACACCTACACTTTGCTGCTCAATACACCCACACTTTGCTCAATACACCCACACTTTGCTCAATACACCCACACACTTTGCTCAATACACCTACACTTTTGCTCAATACACCTACACTTTTGCTCAATACACCCACACTTTTGCTCAATACACCACACTTTGCTCAATACACCTACACTTTTGCTCAATACACCCACACTTTGCTCAATACACCACACTTTGCTCAATACACCTACACTTTGCTCAATACACCTACACTTTTGCTCAATACACCCACACTTTGCTCAATACACCACACTTTGCTCAATACACCCACACTTTGCTCAATACACCTACACTTTTGCTCAATACACCCACACTTTGCTCAATACACCTACACTTTGCTCTAATACACCCACACTTTGCTCAATACACCACACTTTGCTCAATACACCTACACTTTTGCTCAATACACCCACACTTTGCTCAATACACCACACTTTGCTCAATACACCTACACTTTTCTCAATACACCTACACTTTTGCTCAATACACCACACTTTGCTCAATACACCCACACTTTGCTCAATACACCTACACTTTGCCTCAATACACCCACACTTTGCTCAATACACCTACACTTTGCTCAATACACCTACACTTTCTCAATACACCTACACTTTGCCTCAATACACCACACTTTTGCTCAATACACCTACACTTTTGCTCAATACACCCACACTTTGCTCACACACCACACTTTGCTCTCAATACACCTACACTTTGCTCAATACACCTACACTTTGCTCAATACACCCACACTTTGCTCAATACACCACACTTTGCTCAATACACCCACACTTTGCTCAATACACCACACTTTGCTCAATACACCTACACTTTTGCTCAATACACCCACACTTTGCTCAATACACCACACTTTTCTCAATACACCTACACTTTTGCTCAATACACCACACTTTGCTCAATACACCACACTTTGCTCAATACACCTACACTTTGCTCAATACACCCACACTTTGCTCAATACACCCACACTTTGCTCAATACACCTACACTTTTCTCAATACACCTACACTTTGCTCAATACACCACACTTTGCTCAATACACCTACACTTTTTGCTCAAATACACCCACACTTTGCTCAATACACCACACTTTGCTCAATACACCTACACTTTGCTGAATACACCCACACTTTGCTCAATACACCCACACTTTGCTCAATACACCCACACTTTGCTCAATACACCTACACTTTTGCTCAATACACCCACACTTTGCTCAATACACCTTCACTTTGCTCAATACACCCACACTTTGCTCAATACACCCACACTTTGCTCAATACACCTACACTTTGCTCAATACACCCACACTTTGCTCAATACACCACACTTTGCTCAATACACCACACTTTTGCTCAATACACCCACACTTTGCTCAATACACCACACTTTGCCTCAATACACCTACACTTTGCTCAATACACCCACACTTTGCTCTTACACCCACACTTTGCTCAATACACCACACTTTGCTCAATACACCCTACACACTACACACACACTTTGCTCAATACACACACACTTTGCTCAATACACCACACTTTGCTCAATACACCTACACTTTTGCTCAATACACCCACACTTTGCTCAATACACCACACTTTGCTCAATACACCCACAGTTTTGCTCAATACACCTACACTTTCTTGCTCAATACACCCACACTTTGCTCAATACACCACACTTTGCTCAATACACCCACACTTTGCTCAATACACCCACACTTTGCTCAATACACCACACTTTGCTCAATACACCTACACTTTTGCTCAATACACACACACTTTGCTCAATACACCCACACTTTGCTCAATACACCACACTTTGCTCAATACACCTACACTTTTGCTCAATACACCCACACTTTGCTCAATACACCACACTTACACTTTTGCTCAATACACCCACACTTTGCTCAATACACCTACACTTTTGCTCAATACACCCACACTTTGCTCAATACACCACACTTTTGCTCAATACACCCACACTTTGCTCAATACACCTACACTTTTGCTCAATACACCCACACTTTTGCTCAATACACCTACACTTTTGCTCAATACACCCACACTTTGCTCAATACACCACACTTTGCTCAATACACCTACACTTTTGCTCAATACACCCACACTTTGCTCAATACACCACACTTTGCTCAATACACCACACTTTGCTCAGTACACCTACACTTTGCTCAATACACCACACTTTGCTCAATACACCCACACTTTGCTCAATACACCTACACTTTTGCTCAATACACCCACACTTTGCTCAATACACCACACTTTTCTCAATACACCTACACTTTTCTCAATACACCCACACTTTGCTCAATACACCTACACTTTGCTCAATACACCCACACTTTGCTCAATACACCCACACTTTGCTCAATACACCACACTTTGCTCAATACACCTACACTTTTGCTCAATACACCCACACTTTGCTCAATACACCACACTTTGCTCAATACACCCACACTTTGCTCAGTACACCTACACTTTGCTCAATACACCACACTTTTGCTCAATACACCCACACTTTGCTCAATACACCTACACTTTGCTCAATACACCCCACACTTTGCTCAATACACCACACTTTGCTCAATACACCCTTCACTTTTCTCAATACACCTACACTTTCTCTCAATAC